CTGTCGAGTTGCATGTTATTCTGACAGTAGAATATTGATAAAGTTCTTGAGAGGGAATTTGGAGTTTACTCAGATTCCCAGAATACAAAACAGTACACCTAAATCATTAACACGGTAAGCTTCTATACAGCCTGTTTTCCAAATATTCTTTGACCGGTTTCTGTGAATACATTCGTAGCTTGAGATCTATAGTGAGCTGACAAGTTGGTAACAAGAGAAATTATAACAAAATATCAGTTAAAGTTTTTGTTCGTAATTTCCTTTTAGTAAACTTCCTCAGTGTGAACCATGATATATGATGGTAAGAGCTAAAACTTCAAACGAAAAATGTTAGTAAAAAATAAAGAATGTGATGAAGTGTGGCTCCTCTTTCTCCAAAGGAATCATTATTTAAAGCCGATTTTCTGTCGACTAAGGATAAGACTAAGTGTTTTAACTACTGGGTAGGTAGACACGTACGCGTCATTAAAGTGTTCATGGGAAGGAATGACCTCGAAAGGAGTAATGTTTCATTATGTGCAATTTGCGGAGTAGGTTTGACTCTTAACCACATTTTAACGGCATGTCAAAGGTATAGATATCAGTGTGTTGAATGAGGATCCAGTTATAACAAATATTAAAATAATGAGATTAAGGCAAAAAAAGGTTAATGTTCAGTCACTCAAAATACTATCTATACAAAATTTTGTTGAAAATGACACAATGGGCGAAAGATTTTTGACAACCCTACCGAGACAACAGGAGTCAATGTTCATGCTGAATTTCATCGTCACCCCAAGTACAGATAGTTTTTTGAGTGACTGTACTTGATAAAGGAGGCAAATATATTCCATTGATATTAAGTTTTATAATTTTCGATATGTTATAAAAAGTGAATAATCCCTTTACATCTGTCCTCTTGCATCGACACTTCCATCATTCTCTGCCTCGCCTTCTCTCCCTCTTTCATTACCTGTGACTATTTTCATTTACTCAACCCTAACTCTCCAACCCTCTCCACTTCCCTCTCTTACACTTACCAAGTTCCCATCACCCACTTAGTAGTCCAGCCCACATCCAAGATAACTCGCGTCCCAGTATTACGTGCCCGGTTTACATAAGCTGCTGGTAAAAGTGTTAATTGCATGTTCTGTGTACCAGTGCTGCTCGCTGAGTTTCATGCTCTGGCCTTACACGCTATATTTAACTCACTCACCAAGTTAAATTAGCTGAGTAAATTATATTATGAATGATGAAAGCTGGGAAGAAAGTTATATAGATTAAATTATACAAATTAATTCTCAACAGAGGAGTTGTATATGTCGTACGAGGTGAATGTTGAGCGTCACTCCTTGAATTACACAATAACTGCTTGCGGTAACCGAAGGTAATGTTCTTAGGAAGCCATTTTCACTGTACATCTAAGGCGGGAAGCGAAAGATACAGTGACAAGGCAGCTTCAAATATCAGGATATATTGTCGGCACTAGCAAGTTGCATTGTTTCGGCACTAGCAAGTTGCATTGTTTCGGCACTAGCAAGTTGCATTGTTTCGGCACTAGCAAGTTGCATTGTTTCGGCACTAGCAAGTTGCATTGTTTCGGCACTAGCAAGTTGCATTGTTTCGGCACTAGCAAGTTGCATTGTTTCGGCACTAGCAAGTTGCATTGTTTCGGCACTAGCAAGTTGCATTGTTTCGGCACTAGCAAGTTGCATTGTTTCGGCACTAGCAAGTTGCATTGTTTCGGCACTAGCAAGTTGCATTGTTTCGGCACTAGCAAGTTGCATTGTTTCGGCACTAGCAAGTTGCATTGTGTCGGCACTAGCAAGTTGCATTGTGTCGGCACTAGCAAGTTGCATTGTGTCGGCACTAGCAAGTTGCATTGTGTCGGCACTAGCAAGTTGCATTGTGTCGGCACTAGCAAGTTGCATTGTTTCGGCACTAGCAAGTTGCATTGTTTCGGCACTAGCAAAGTTGCATTGTTTCGGCACTAGCAAGTTGCATTGTTTCGGCATAGCAAGTTGCATTGTTTCGGCACTAGCAGAATTGCATTGTTTCGGCACCTAGCAAGTTGCATTGTTTCGGCACTAGCAAAGTTGCATTGTTTCGGCACTAGCAAGTTGCATTGTTTCGGCATAGCAAGTTGCATTGTTTCGGCACTAGCAAGTTGCATTGTGTCGGCACTAACGGATTGCATTGTGTCGGCACTAATAAGTGCATTGTCGGCACTAACAAGTTACGTGTGTCGGCACTAGCGATTCGTGTGTCGGCGCTAGCAAATTTACATTGTGTCGCTTACTAGCAAGTACATTGTGTCGGCACACTAACCAGGATGCGTGTGTCGGCACTATAAGTTGCATTGTGTCGGCACTAGCAAGTTGCATTGTGTCGGCACTAGCAAGTTGCATTACGTCGGCACTAACCAAGTTGCATTACGTCGGCACCTGGCAAGTTGCATTACGTCGACACTAGCAAGTTGCATTACGTCGACTTACCCAGCAAGTTGCATTAACGTCGACACTAGCAAGTTGCATTAACGTCGACACTAGCAAGTTGCATTAACGTCGACGCAGCAAGTTGCATTAACGTCGTCACTAGCAAAGTTGCATTAACGTCGTCACTAGCAAGTTGCATTAACGTCGTCACTAGCAAGTTGCATTAACGTCGTCACTAGCAAGTTGCATTAACGTCGACACTAGCAAGTTGCATTAACGTCGACACTAGCAAGTTGCATTAACGTCGACACTAGCAAGTTGCATTAACGTCGACACTAGCAAGTTGCATTAACGTCGACACTAGCAAGTTGCATTAACGTCGACACTAGCAAGTTGCATTAACGTCGACACTAGCAAGTTGCATTAACGTCGACACTAGCAAGTTGCATTAACGTCGACACTAGCAAGTTGCATTAACGTCGACACTAGCAAGTTGCATTAACGTCGACACTAGCAAGTTGCATTAACGTCGACACTAGCAAGTTGCATTAACGTCGACACTAGCAAGTTGCATTAACGTCGACACTAGCAAGTTGCATTAACGTCGACACTAGCAAGTTGCATTAACGTCGACATTAGCAAGTTAGTCTTCCACAGTGCACAGGGATGATTGTTGCTCCTTGTTGGGCCCTAATACACTGTAATTCAACCTCCCATAATTCAGAATGTTTATATAGATGTGACCAGCTTGTCTTGTTGATATTTGATCACTTGTTCCTATGGCCTCAAACTGCGTATCATTTGTTGCATTATCTCTGTTATTTTTATGAGTTGATGGTTATTGGTTGGGTTAGCTTAGGTTTGGTTAGGATAGATTTGGTTAGCTTAGGTTATATAAATATTTTTTGTGGTGGACATGGATCAGTGAGAAGTCGCTTGATCTTATACCATACATTATATTTGTCACAGAATGCTCTGTAAGAACTGAAAGATTATATTTTTGTATGACTTAAAATATTTTCCTCTTTCAGATATACGCGACAACGAGATCAATTTGAAAATAGGAAGGGATTGCGAAGAGGGAGAGAGGAAGAATATAATAACGAAGATGACAGAACAAGAGATTAAGGAGGAGGAGGGGAGGAGGAGGAGGAGGAACAGCAACAGCATCAGAGATGAACTGAAGAAAGTTAATGAACACAAACGTTGTTCTTGGTTGGTGAGTACAGGTCTCTAGTACTCAGGCAACATATGTAGGACACGGACAACATATGTAGGACACGGACAACATATGTAGGACGCGGGCAACATATGTAGGACGCGGCAATGTTGGACCCTGTCACCGTAGGACCCTGACAACACAATGGGCGTGACAAGATACATAATGGGCGTGACAAGATACATAATGGGCGTGACTGATACGCCCACAATAGGCGGGCGTGATATTCCATTGTCTAACATAGAACATGATGGTAGCATGAGCCGGGTCTGGCGGCCCTCTTCCAACAACACAACTTTAAGATGAGCCCAACCACACACACTCTCTCTC